GTCACATTTATAAGGTCTCTCCTCAGTGTGGATAAACATGTGGTTTTTTAAGTGTGTGGCTGTTGTAAACAGTTTCCCACACTGATCGCACCAGTAAACATCCTGTCCAGTGTGAATGCGCAGGTGAATATTTCGTTTGACTAGCGAGCAGAATGTTTTTCCACAAATGTCGCAGCTATACGCTTGATTATTTTCAGAGTGGGTAACTAGATGATTTCGTAAGCTGCTACTACGAGCAAAAGCTTTACCACACTGATCACAGCTGTGTGCTTTAAGTCCACTGTGGATGAGTTGGTGTCTTTTTAAGTGTCCAAGTTGGGTGAAAGATTTTCCACACAAGTCACAGTAGTGTGCTTTAACTCCACTGTGGATGAGTTGATGCCGTATCAGGTCAGACGTCCGATTAAAATCCTTCCCACACTCGTCACAGCTGTATTTCTTCTCCCCCTTTCTTCTGTGAGGTTTGTCGGCCTCCTGAGAGCGCTGACTTCTCGCTCCATGTTGGTCCTGCAGTGACAGAGATACAAACAGAGGCAGTGAGTGAAATGCAGTCGTGGAACAAACTGAAACTCCCTCCATTAGTGGAATCAAAGATTGATTAACTGATAATACTTTATTTATCCGGAGGAAAAATGTTTTAAAGGCTGCCAGACGATCCGGCACCATCATGAGCACCCCTTCCAACCATACATAGAACACACAAACATAACATTGGGAAGTCAGGTGAGAGAGGTACGGAAAAAACAAAACAATGGAAATACAGAGTAAATGAGGAAAGAAGAGGAGAAAATTAAAATCTGGTTTTCATCTTGAAGGAGAGTGTATATGATTGGGGAAACCTGCAGTCAGCTGAGACTGAAGAAGTCACTTGGATGAGTGACGAAACGTTTCTCCCACTAAAACCGCTACGTCCAGGTGAACAGAATCAACCTTTTGGGATTTACTTACCTGGATGATTAAGCACGGATCAAGACCTTATTTTGTTAACATTTTTAAAATGATAGCAGCACAAACAAAATATTTTGCAGCACAAACCAGCACAAACATAGCACAATTGATTGACACCAGTTTTGTTTGATTCCATTAATGTGGGGTGGCTGGTTGACCTCTGACCTCTAGAAATTTTTATTAATATTTTTAAAATGATAGCAGCAGAAACAAAAAAATTTGCAACACAAACATAACACAAATGTTTGACATCAATTTTGTTTGATTTAGTTAATGTGGGGGCGCTGGTTGACATTTTGACCCTTACATTTTCATTAATATCTTTAAAACAGAAGCAGCACAAACATAGCACAGTTGATTAACACCACTTTTGTTGGATTTGAAGAAGGTGAGTGGTAGGGGTGTAGCGATACACAAAATTCATGGTTCGATATTTTTTCGATACAAAAATGTTCATGCCTTTTTAATTTGTCATTTATTAAAATTATAAATATATATTTTAACTCAAAAGTACAGTTTTTAAATTTAATGTTGCTGAAACAACAAAGGGATAAAAAATAAATCTATCTAATGGAGAAATCTTTGGAAAAGAGAGTTTAT